TTTATCTTTCGTTTTCCCTCTGGCCATGTTTTAAGAAACACTGGAAAGTTTTATTATCGATCAGGTCAACAAGATAAACGTCTAAACGAATGTGCATATTCCTTCAAATTCCTACAAATACCTTGGAGGGAATGAGAAACTGTGTACGCTTTTTACTCAAAAAGTCCTGTAAAGCCATTGTAAGTGAGCCAGATCTCGCTGCATGAATTTCCTGCATCAATAATGGCTTCTTGACAGTTTCTGAACGGCAGTCAAATGCATTTCAGCCCACCAGCAGGCTCAGATGAAGGCCAAAGCCCATCAGACCGGGCCAGAACCCGTTCCAGAACTCGTGGTCAGCCGTTAAACCTGACAGCAGGCAATCAGAGAGAGTCTGTCGTGACTGAATGCGGCCAAACGAACCCAGTGATCGGCTTATAAATGCATATAAGACTGGAACACCTGCAGAGCTGGAGGACGTGTGTGTCTTTCTAATGGAGAGAGAAAGACAGAAAAGATGGAAAGTGTGAGACTCTCAGAAGACAATCTCTTAATTGCAGCAATGTTTAAGTCTGCAGGTTGATTTAGTGCTCGTCTGATGCACGTCTCAAGAGTTTCTTTGGAGATTATAAGTCGAATTTTACAGTAAAACTGAACATGTGCTTGTATGATTTTGTTGAATCATGCATCCAATGCTTACAAAATCTTACTAACACTTACAAGATTCTATCATTTTAAAAATATTTTATCTAAGCAATCTCACTTAAAAATCTATTTCCATAAAAAAAAAACATCAAGTAAAATGATTTCTCACCAGGATTATTATGGTAAAAAAAAAATAATAATAAATAAATAAATTGTTACTTAAAATAAATTAAACTGAAATAATATAAAATATGACAATTTTATTTTATTTTATTTATTTTAGACAAGACAAAATTTCTTAAAGTCTAACTTTAAGTACTAAAATAACTAAAACAAATAAAAATTAATTATTAATAAATTAATAATATTCAAATAATTAAACATTTAAATTAAAACGTAAACAAAATATAAAAGTAAAAATGAATTCAAAATGTTAATAAAGCTATAATAGTATATCAACGATACAAAAAAAAAAAAATGTTTCTCACAAAAATTCAAATCAAACATCACTCAAAGGATTAATTCTAGGATCTAGTAGACCTTCTGTGTCTCGTAAACGTGTTGAATCTTTCTGTAAGCTGCCCAGGGGTTCAGCGTGAATTTGTGTCTTATCACCAACTCCTGAGGAACTTCCTCATTGACCTAGTTTCCAGAAGAGCAGTGTGTGAATTATCTCAGCCGTAACACTACACAGGTGTGAGGGAGGGTGTGGAGCAGCGCTTGTGTGTGTGTGTGTGTGTGCATGTGTGCACGTGTGTGTTAGAGCGGCATTTAATACACAGAGCCGTAGTTCACTGACAAGCTAGGCAATATCGCGTTAATAATCGAATGCGATTCATCTGCGATTATGACCGCGATATTGCCTAAGTGTCAGTGAACTATGGCTCTGTGTATTAAATGCCGCTCCATCTGAAAGCAGGTGATGGAGATTTACTACTAATCACGGAACCGGCTTTACTGACGAGATGCGCTTGACAATCGCATGCGATTAATTGCACAGCCCTAATATGTAATATAAGTCTCAGGTGTCCCCAGAATGTGTCTGTGAAGTTTCAGCTCAAAATACCCCACAGATCATTT